GTGGATCATGACAAATTATGGATAACATTGAGAAGAATGGGAATTCCTGAATACTTGATTATACTCATGAGGAACCATGACCTCATTCATGAGGAATACATTGACCAGGAGGCTGTCGTTCAAACAGAACAAGAGGACACTACAAGGTTTAAAATCAAGAAGGGAGTGTGTCAGGGTTGTATCCTTTCCCCTTACTTATTCAATCTATATGCTGAGCAAATAATCTGAGAACCTGGACTATATGAAGAAAAATGTGGAATCAGGATTGGAGGAAGAATCATTAACAACCCTTGATATGCAGACGATACAACTTTGCCTGCTGAAAGTGAGGATGATTTGAGGCACTTACTGATGAAGATTGAAGAATACAGTCTGCAGTCTGGATTACATCTCAATATAAAGAAAACAAAAATCCTCACAACTGAACCAATAAGCAGCATCACTATAAATGGAGAAAAGATTGAGGTTGTCAAAGAATTCATGTTGCTTGGTTCTACAATTGACACCAATGGAAGCAGCACTCAGGACATTAGACATTGTGTAGCACTGGGAGGGTCAGCTGCAAAAGAACTCTTTCAAGTGTTGAGGAGCAAGGATGTTTCCTTGAGGACTAAGGTGCTCCTGACACAAGCTGTAATATTTCCAATCGCCTCATATGCATGTGAGAGCTGGACAATGAATAAGGAAGACTGAAGAACAGTTGATGTTTTTGAATTGTGGTGTTGGTGAAGAATACTGAAAGTACCATGGACTGCTAAAAGAACTAACAGATCTGTCCTGGAGGAAGTGAAGCTGAAATGCTCCTTGGAAGCGAGAATGGCCAGATTTCGTCTCACCTACTTTGGTCATGTTGTCAGAAGGGACCAATCTCTGGAAAAGGATGTCATGCTTGGTAAGGTGGAGCGTCAATGAAGGCCTTCAATGAGATGGATTGACACAGTGGCTGCAACAGTGGGCTCAAGTATAGCAAGAATCATGGAGCTGATGCAGGATCAGGCAGTGTTTCATTCTGCTGTGCATGGGGTCACTATGAATCAGAAATGACTCAAAGGCACCTAACAACAACAACAACATGCCTGTGATTATAACCTCATTTGGGATGAGTTTTCTGTTATGTTAATGAGGCAGGATTAGTGTAAGGTGAATCTTATGTCAATCTCTTTTGAGATATAGGAAGAGATTAAACAAGTGAGCAGAGAGAAAAATGGGGTAGGATAGATGTCAAGACACTTGGAGATCTCAAGCAACCAAGAAGTAGAAGCTGAAGAGACAAGGGCCTTCCCCAGAGCCAATAAAAAGAGAAACTTCCCCTCAAGCCAGCACTCTGCATGCAGACTTTTAACCACCTAAACTATGAGAAAATAAATTTGTTTGTTAAAGCCATTCACTTGCGGTATTTCTGTTATAGCAACATTAGATAACTAAGACAGAATTTGGTATCAGAAGGGTGAGGGTGCTGCATTAACAGATACCTAATAATTAACAGATACACAATAATGCAAAAGCAAAAGGAAAGTTTATTGGCTAGCTCGAGCTAGGGTCTCCGCTTACACCAACACAGAGATTTGGGCAAAAGACCCCATGCTCTACTACAATTACAATTTTATAGGAAAAATACAAGGTGGAGTAACACAAAAGCAAAGAGGTCCCTCTCTCCTTTGATTGGTTGTTGCTACGGGGTAGAAAAGGAGGGGAGGGGGTCTTAGGGCTCTGTGTGGTAAAGCCCTGAGGCGTGGGGAACGTGCTGGAGTTCCCGGCACTAATGGCTCCTAGTTAAAGAATAATTACCTGGAGGGGAGAGGGTCTCACAACTTCATTCTGTGCCCTTTCTATTGCCTAAACTACAGATTCTGGGATGCAAGCCTACAGGTCTCTAGCCTGCCACCTACAGATTTGACTTATCAGCCTCCATAATCTCACGAGCCAATCCTTTGAAATAAATCTCTCTCTCTCTTTCTCTGTCTCTCTCTCTCTCTCTTTCTCTCTTTCTCTCTCTCTCTCTGTCTCTCTCTCTCTTGCTCCCTCCCTCTCTCTCTCTCCAGATATATATATCGAAAGAAAGAGAGAGAAGAATGTGTGTGTGTGTGTGTGTGTGTGTATGTGTAGTAGTGGGTAAGGCATTTGACTGCTAACCAGAAGATCAGAAGTTCAAACCCAACTGCAGCTCCATAGATGGAAGATGAGACAATTTACTTCCGTAAAGATTTATAGCCTTGGAAACCAATTGGGGGTCACTATGAGTCAGAATCAATTGGATGGCAGTGGTGTGTGTGTGTGTGTGTGTTTCTGTAGAAACCCTAAGACAGTTCCCAAGGGGACAACAGTTGCTTGGTCCATCCTTAGATTCCACACTATGAGACTTCATACCCAAAACTTCAGGAGAGAGAATTTAGACTGGGAACACTTGGAAAACTTGGTCCAACTGTGCAGATATTTGGCCAGACATATGATTACAGTACAAAATTCTAGAAAAGATAAACGATGCTTTACAACGAGAGAAAATCAACAGCATTTCTTATTTTATTTCTTGCTACAATGACAGCAGGGAATTGTGAAAACAGATGAGATTGGCAAACTCCATCTTCAGGAAGGGAGGACAAGACCCCACCACAGCTAGGGTTAGGGTGGAGTGCAGTGAAGGGCTGAGGCTCCCTCGAGGACGCTGGTCACCAGCTTGGGTTTTAGCCCCTGAGGAAGGCGCAGGCTTCCAGGAGTGCTGTGGGACACAATAGAGTGGGAGACTCAGAAACTGCTGCCTAATGAACAGAAACTGCTTTTTCTTTGTTCTCTGTCAGTAAAATCAACAAGATTTTTTAATAAATCAATAAAGCAAGGGAGTTACTGAAACAGACTTTTCTCTTCTCCCACCCATTACAATAGGCAATGTTTGCCATACTCAGGTTTTCCTAGTTTCGTCCCTCCTGAGAATCGCTGATACAGAGGTTTCTGGTCCTCCCCCAACTCTTGGACTCTCCCCACCCCCAATGTCTCAGACTCTGGGTGAGGAACCAGGAATCTGCATGGTCACTGTGCACAGGGGAGTCCACACACTGAAATTGGAGAACCATCTCCTGGAGCCTAACCAGGAAAACCAAACCAGTTGCCATTGAGTAGCTCTGACTCATGGTGAGCCCATGTGTGCAGAGTAGAACTGAACTCCTGAGGGTATTCAAGGTTGTGACCTTTCAGAAACAGATTGCCAGGCCTTTCTTCCAAAGTGCCTCTGGGTGGCTTAGAACCACCAATCTGTCTGTTAGGAGTTGCTATGGATTGAATTGTGTTCCTTAAAAATACATGTTGTAAATCCTAAACAATATACCTGGGGTTATAATCCCATTTGTGAATGAGTTCTCTTTGTTATGTTAATGTGGCAGTATTAGTGTAGGGTGTGTCTTAAATTGACCTCTTTCGATAAAAGAACAGATTGAACAAGCAAGCAGAGAAAGGGAAGATAGATGCCACTCCACATGAATATTGTCAAGGAACAGAAGTTGAAAATAGGCAAGGACAGTTCCCCAAAGCCCATAGAGAAAGCTTTCTCCTAGACCTGGCACCATGAATTTGGACTTCCTGTCTTCTGAACTGTGAACAAATAAATTTCTGTTTGTTAAAGTTACCCACTTGTGGCATTTCTACTGTAATAGCACTAGATAACTAAGCAGCCAAGAGCTTAACTGATTGTTCTACCAGGGACTACAGTCTGGAGCCTACAACACTGCTATGTCTTCTAAATATTTTTAAATGAACAAATTATTTTCATGATAAATTTTCCTGCATTCAAATTTTTTGAGAGTCTGTATTCTGCATAGTTGGTATAGGAGCCCTTGGATGGTGTAAATGGTTAATGTGCTCAGCTGCTAACTTAAAGGTTGGAGGTTCAAGTCCACCCGGAGGCACCTTAGAAAAAAGGCCTAGCCAAGTAGCAACTGGGATCTTAAAAGCTTGCAAGCAGCCATCTGGATGCAAAAATGGGTCTCTCCTTGTCCAGAGCAAAGAAGAATGAAGAAAACCAAACATTCGTGGAAACAATTAGTCCTTGCAACTGGTGCACCATGTGATCCTCAACCTATACGACTATAAGACCAGAACTAGATGGTGCCCAGCTACCACTGTCAACCACTCAGAGGGGGATCTATGTAGGAGATCGTGGATAAAGTGGGAGAACAATGTGGAACAAAACTCAAAATCATTTGGGGGAGAAAAAAAAAAAAGGGGAGACCAGGTTTGCTGGTCCGATAGAGCCTGGTGGAACCACTGAGACTATGATCCCTAGCTGCCCTTCAGGTCTGGAATTGAACCCACACCTGTGGCCTCCAGCCAAATAAAAGACAGGCATAAGAGTTGAACATGTACCTGAGGTAGATACATCCCTTGGAGAGAACAATCATGGGAGAAAGAAGGGCTGTCTATGCACAGGGAGACAGCTCAGGGGGCAGGAGCGCGTGGAGGGATGAACACAGGGAAGAGGTAACTATCACAAGGAAGTGGGAGGGGAGGTGTTGCACTGGGGTAAACTATCAATGTCATAAGACAACGTGTGTGTGAACTGCTATATGGAAAGTGAATTTGCTCTGTAAACTTTCACCCAAATCACAATAAAAAGCAAAGAAAAGAAAAGAAAAAAGGCCTAGCAATCTACTTCCAAAAAATCAGCTGCGGAAAACAACTCCATGGAGCCCAGTTCTACTCTGAGACATGTGGCATCACCATGAATCAAAATTAACTCAACAATTGTTTTTTTTCACTAGTTATGATTGGTATTACGGCAACTGTCTAGAAACCAAAATGTGTCATTTCTTAATACATATGTATTAAGTACATATTGTAGGAGCTCTGGTGGCACAATGGCTAAAGCATTCAGCTACCAACCAAAAGGTCCATGGTTTGAACCCACAAGCCATACTTTCTGTGGGAAAAAAAAAAAAAAAAATGAATGAGGCAGTCTGCTTCCGTAAACATGTCCCACCTTGGAAACCCTATGAGGCAGTTCTACTCTGTCCTTTAGGGTTACTATGAGCTGGAATCAACTCCATGGCAATGGGCTTTATTTTGTTTCTTTGTTCATTTGTTTGTTATGTATTCATACACATTTTGCTGAATACAATGAATTATCAGTTTCTAAAAACTACATGGCAGTCACCTTCATCCTTATAAAAATTTAACATATTATCTATTGCTTTATTTTATTCTTTAATTGTTTCACCTTATCAAAGAGATTGTGATTTCCTGGAGTGAAATATATTGCCTTAAATATTTTTAGCCTCATCTTTGTCCCTAGAATGCTGTTTTTCCCTTGAACTTTCCCTCGAACCTTCCACCATAGTGGTTTCCCAGTGATGTTATCTATGGCCCACTTACGGGTGGATGAGCATTTCTTCATATTAGCAATGGCTGTGACATATGCTGGTCCTAAATACTTTTCATAGGTTGTCTTGCCCTGCAGTTTGGCCAGACATTCAGTGTTGTCGTTGAACAAAAGGTTTTTGGTTTGAGACTGGAACAAGCAAAACTTGCGTGAGCAGTCATTTCCATTTCTTCCAAACTGAGCCTGTGTCAAGGGAACAGACAGTAAATAAGCAGTTGAGGAAATAGGAGAGTTTGTGGATTAGAAAAGGCCAAGGACATTCTTCCATTCAGGACCAAACCAAAACCAAACCCATTGCCATCGAGTCGATTCCAACTCATAGTGACCCTAGAGGACAGAGTAGAACTGCATAGAGTTGTAAATCTTTTCAGAAGCAGACCACCTCATCTTTCTTCCACAGAATGGCTGGTGGGTTTGAACTGGTGACATTTTGGTTAGCAGCCAAATGCTTTAAACACTACACCAGCAGAGCTTCTCATTCAGGACCAGCCCCAGAAAAACCATGTTGCAGAAGAAGCTGAGTTCTGGGTCTATCCACTTCCTTGGCTGACTCTGCCCCTGCCTCATGTCCTCCTGCTGCCCAAAGCCCCAGTGTCAAAGCCACCCTGGGCCTGCCTTCTCTGGAACAGCTCCAGGCCCCTCACTGTTTCTGATCTTACCCCACTCCATTTTCCTTCCTTCTTAATACGTGGCTCTTCCCTTAGAACTTCTTATGAGTAACCAGGGGACAGCTGAAGATATCTGAGATCTTCCCCCAAAGTTGATCACCTGCAATACCTTAATATGTCACATCTCCCAGAGAGACCGTCTGCACTGGAAAATCCAGTCTCTGCCACCACCCAGGTCATTGCCTTAGGCAGGACACTTAGCTTCCTTTGCCACAGTTCCTCCTCTAGACACAGAAGGATCACATGGTAACAGCCACATGGTTGTGCCATGACAGCCCAAACACCTTGATGATAGCAGACCTCCTACCAGTGCCCTTGAGGGCACTATAGTCAGGGCTTAATAAATGTCAACTATTGTGGAGTCCTGCATGTTGCTATAACACTGAACAGTTTCAGCAAAGCTTCCAGAATAAGGTGGAGTACACAGAAAGGCCTGGTGATCTACCTCTGAAAATCAGCCAGTGAAAACCGTATGGATCACAACAGTTCAATCCACAACCTATCATGAGGACGGCACAGGACTGGATAGTATTTCACTCCAATTGTGTAGGGTCACCATGTGTTGGCGGTCAACTCAATGGCAGCTAATAACAACATCATGACTACTGTTACCATTCCAGGACTATGTCTTTAAAAGCACACCTGCAGATATGATGTTTTCATATAAAAATCAAAGTTCCAATAAAGAACCATAGATACTGAGACACAGGGAATTTTAAGATTTCCTTCAAATCATATTCACATTGTTGTTGTTGTTGTTAAGTGCCGTC